TATTATTATTATTATTATTATTATTATTATTATTATTATTATTATTATTATTATTATTATTATTATTTTATAACTTACTAGCTCGATACCCATGCTTTGCGAATGAAACTGTGTGGTCGGGCTTAATTTTTGGAGAGTAAAATTGGTGGGGTAGGATCTGCTTCTGCCTATCAGCCTCCCTCGGTATTCACCTGGCTAGCGTCCTGTCAGTGTGCGAGAGAGTTGAGGGCTGTTTGGAAACTGAAACGGTATTTGCTGTGTGAGCAAGAAGGAGACAGCAAGGAGCCTGGGCGTGGCTTAGCTCAACTGTTCTGTACTAAAGCTGCTTGGTGCTCTGAAACTGAAACTCCTCTGCTTGTGTTTTGCCTTTGGAAGAGATTTCTTTCCAGGTAGGGAGGGGGAGTAGAACTCCTTAGCATCAGAGAATAATAATAATAATAATATAGGAAATACTCTAAATGCTCTGAGGGTCATTTGGAAAAATCCTTTCTTAGTGAGCCCCTAGAAGCCGAGAGGAACATACAGGCCAAACTTCAAGTTTGTAGGTTTTACGGTTCTGGAGATTTTGTGATGATGCATGAAGGGTATTTTGCTTTTATATATCTATAGTTAAGTCATCCAGAGTGCCCTTATCTGAGTGGCATAAAATTGTAATAGATAAGTAAACGATAAGTGAACTAAACCTGGGAGCTGTTTGCATTTTCTTCTCTGCCTTGCCTTCAGCGCTGAATGTAGAGACAAAACTACCATCTTTCCTCCAGACCTTTATAGATTTAATTTCCACGTAAACAGGACCAAACTAGATTTGGCAAGGGAAAGGATCTCCCGAAATCCACTGATCCATCAAGGATCCTACTAACAGCCTCTTAGCATTTAGCACTTCAGCCATGACACCGGGCAATCCTAGAGCCAGAATTAGTTCAACCTTCAACCTCCTGAAAATATTCGTTTCAAAAAGTTGTGGTGCTCTCTGAGCTTGGTGGTTTCCTGGCAGACGTTCCGTGACCTAAGCAGGTAACATCACCAGGCTAGATGGGGGTGGAGTATGTGGAATGGAAGAGGGGAGGAGAAGGAGAACTGTGGGGGTCCTTGGTGCTCTCTGAGCTTGGTGGTTTCCTTGCAGACGTTTCATGACCCAACTATGTAACATGATCATGCTCGAAGGGAGTGGGGTTTGTGCAGTGGAAGAGGAGGAGGATAAAGACTGTGGAATCCATGGTGCTCTTTTTGCAGATGTTTCATGACCTAACTAGGGGAACATCATCGTTGCTAGAAGGGAGTAGGTCGTAGAGAGGAGGGGAAGAAGGAGGAAGAGGAGGAGGAGGAGGAGGAGGAGGAGGAGGAGGAGGAGGAGGAGGACTACTGTGGGGTCCCTGGTGCTCTCTGAGCTGCGTGGTTTCCTTGCAGACGTTTCATGACCCAACTAGGGAATATCATCAGTGCTAGAAGGGAGTAGGTCATAGAGAGGAGGAGAAGAAGGTGGAGGAAGAGGAGGAGGAGGAGGAAGGAGGAGGAGGAGGAGGAGGAGGAGGAGGAGGACTACTGTGGGGTCCCTGGTGCTCTCTGAGCTGCGTGGTTTCCTTGCAGACGTTTCATGACCCAACTAGGGAATATCATCAGTGCTAGAAGGGAATAGGTCATAGAGAGGAGGAGAAGAAGGTGGAGGAAGAGGAGGAGGAGGAAGGAGGAGGAGAAGGTGGAGGAAGAGGAGGAGGAGGAGGAGAAGGTGGAGGAAGAGGAGGAGGAGGAGGAAGAGGAGGAGGAGGAGGACTGAGTGGTCCTTAGGACTCTCTGGCCTTGGCAATTTTCTTGCGGACGTTTCATGACCCAACTAGGGAACATCATCAAAAATAAAAATTTGCTGTCGTTTTATATAAAGGGGCTTGCCCTGTCATTATCGGTGGGAATACTTTTAGCTATCCCTCGATTAAGCTGTCATTTGCTATTAGCTTGTGCATCTGAATTGGTGGTTCCTGAATTGGACTATTGTTTATTGTTTGTTTACTGGGTTTTTTTTAAATAGCGGTTTAATTTCAAGAGCGTTGTATTTGGATATAAGTCCCTTGGTACTCGACTCCTTTGAAACTCGTAGAGTTTGGCACTCAAGTGCATTTTTGTGTGAAAATGTCCCACTACTCACCGTTGGTTTGGTACTCAACGTGCACGCTAGAACTTGTCGATGCTGGCTGCCTTATGGCTCGCCACACTATTCATTACGGGAAGAATGTGTTTGCAACTCCTCGTTTTGGGTACTCATTGCACCTCCTGGAACCAGTTAGCGATGAGTAGCGAGGTACCACCCTCCTTACGGAGCGAGGAGAGCATTTGCCGTTTGCAGAAACTGGGGAGACCAGGAGAAATCCCCTGAATAAAAACATATTTATCAAGGTCAAAAGAGGTTTGCTGTGGCTTACGTCCTGGGAATGGGGCACAGCTCAACCCTTCGCATTGCCTTGGTGGAAGTGGATTTCACACCCTTTTCTCCTTTGCACAATCCTCCCCAATTGTAGCCTTGATTTGATTTAAAAAAAAAACTTGCAAAGACGAAAGCAGAAAGAACGGGACGCGTCGGAGAGGAAGAACAGAACCTTCTGGAACTAATGTCTTTTTATTCTCTAGTTTGGAATTGCCTTTCCCGCAAGGGGAGCATGAAGTGAAACCCAAGGAGGGATCGTTATGTCTCAAACGGTAAATCAAAGAGGCACTCGGGCTCCAAATCGGTACTTTTAAGAAGCAAGAGTACCGTCCCGTTCTTTCCTCAAAGTGCCAAAAAATTGGAGGTTTTTTTTCTTTTCTTTTTTTATAGCCCTTCTCAGAAAGTCCTTCCTGCTGAGCTCATTGATCCAAGAACACCAGGGTCCATTTCACCGGGGCGGGTGACGTACAGGCTGTCACTTCCACCCAGACGCAAATTGAGAGAGCCACCTCCTGACCTCTGGAGAATCTTTAAAGAGCCTTGGCCCAAAAGAGGGGAACATCTTGCCTGGGTTAAACCAGAAATAGACCTTTTAATGATCCCGAAGGAATGGCCGGGATCAGAGAGCTGTGAACTTCTCTCGACTTAAGATTCCCGAAGTCTGTAACGGGGAGCAAACTATAAAAGAACAGAAATGCGGGGGGAAAAAAAAACCTGATTTAGAAGAAGGGTGTCCAGCCTCAGCGACTTTTAACAGAATTGAATTGAATTGAACAGAACAGAATAGAACAGAATAGAATAAAATTCTTTATTGGCCAAGTGTGATTGGACACCCAAGGAATTTGTGTCTTGGTGCAAATGCTCTCAGTGTACATAAAAGAAAAGAGACATTTGTCAAGAATCATTAGGTGCAACACTTAATGATAATCGTAGGGTAGAATAAGCAATCAAATCATAGTAGAATAGAATAGAATTATAATTAGGACTAGAATAGGGAATAGAATAGAGTAGAGTAGAATAGAATAGAATAGAATAGAATAGAATAGAATAGAATAGAATAGAATAGAATAGAATTCTTTATTGGCCAAGTGTGATTGGACACACAAAAAATTGTCTTTGGTGCAAATGCTCTCAGTGTACATAAAAAAAAAGACATTTGTCAAGAGTCCAGAATCAACAGGTACAACATTTAATGACAGTCATAGGGTACAATAAGCAATCAAATCCTACCAGGAAACAGTCCATATAAATCGTAAGGATACAAGCGACAAGGTTACAGTCATGCAGTCACAAGTGGGAGGGGATGGGCGATAAGGAGTGATGAGAAGGTTAATAGCAATAGTAGGGCAGACTTAGTAAATAGTTGGACAGTGTTGAGGGAATAATTTGTTTAGCAGAGAGATGGCATTTTGGGGGGAAAAACTCCCCTTGTGTCTAGTTGTTCTGGTGTGCAGGGCTCTATAGCCTTGTTTTGAGGGAAGGAGTTGAAACAGTTTATGTCCGGGATGTGAGGGGTGTGTAGATATTTTCACAGCCCTCTTTTTGACTTATGCAGTATATACAGGTCCTCCATGGAAGGCAGGTGGGTAGCCATTGTTCTTTCTGCAGTCCTAATTTTCCTCCCTGGAGTCTGTGTCCGTCCTGTTGGGTTGACTTGTGGACTTCAGCTCCCAGAATTCCCCAGCCAGCCATGCAAGGTTGAACACTCCTGATTTCGATCCGGATGGATCCCGGCCTCAGAAATGGTTCCTCCTTCCTGGAGAGAGATTAGCAGTTGGGTTTTTCAGGCCGTAGCGGTACCGTAGAGCAACTCTTAGACAATCAGTCAGAATAGGGCAGGAAGGGGCCTTAGAGGTCTTATAGTCCAGCCCCGACTGCTCAAGCAGCAGACGTGATCCCATTTTCAGACCAATGGCTGTCCAATCTCTTCTTGAAGACCTCCAGCAATGGAGCACCCACAACTTCTGGTAGCAAAAGCTGTTCCACCGGTTCCTTGTTTCTCCCTGTCAATCACTCAGTCAGATTCAGTCAGTCAGAATAGAGCTGAACGGGGCCTTGGAGATCATCTAGTCCAACCCTCTGCTCAAACAGGAGGCCCTTATACCAGGTGGGTGGTTAACCTTTTCGGCGCTGAGTGGCGAAACGGGAGCGCGCGCGCGCGCACCAAAAAGGCACCGAGGGTTGGAAATGCACACGCACGTGCACCAGAAACCAGAGGAGCGGCTCCCATGCGCACCGGCCACCTGGCCTTTGTGCGTGCATGCCTGTTATAAACCGGAAGACTAGGTGGCTGGCTGGTTTCTAACGTGCATGCGCAACGGCCACCCGTTTTTTGGTGCACGTGTGCGCCTTAAAAAAAACCCGTAAGACTAGGTGGCCAGTGCGTATCAGAACCTGGAAGAGCAATGGGCGATGGCGGCTGGTGTGCCCGGCGAGATGGCTCTTCATGCCACTTCCAGCACGTACGCCCTAGGTTCACCATCACAGCCCTATACCACTTTGGACAAATAGCTGTCCAGTCT